AGGCAGGAATGTTCAGCACAGAAATCAAATGTTTACCTTAGACTCCTGCCAAATTGGTATCCGCCCAGAGTTTATATGTACCTCTGTATTTGAGAAGTGACATTGCTTATCAAGTTTTATAGAATTATTGCTCCGGACACTATTATCTTCATAATCTGAACTATCCAAGATCATTTCCGCAGCTTGCAGTCCATCAACAGTATTCCCCAATATGCGCACCTCTTTCTCTGGCCAATCATATCTCCTACAAACATCCCACCATTGAACAGGTTCGACCTTCACACGCAAATCTTCTTCTTGTATTTGTGCTGAAGGAACTAGGGTTGTTCTTGAAGCAGTTTCACTTGATTCTGCCACCAATGGTGGTAGTAGTTTATATTGAATTAAATGACCAGAAGGAGTATAAACTAATAAGTGCTCCATAGCATGAATTTTTGAGTGCGCATTGTGTGAATCATGAGGAATGGAACTGTGAAAGACAGCAGAAACAGCACCAGATGGAATTGAGACTTTTCCTGCTGCAGAAGATGCAGCATTACTAACCGTATTGAGCCATCCGGCATTATTATTTTTTATTCTGCTAACCACAGAAAGAACAACAGGAGGTGGAGGTGTCAGGCACAACTGCTGCTGGTTTACAGTGAAATGTGGAGTGAACCACCATGGTAGAGGAAAAATTGGCAACAGAGCAGGGCCATCCGTGTCCTGATTGTGCATCTTAAGAACTGTCTCACCACCAAAAGGGGCAAGAACAAAAATATGACAAGTTCCCTTGGAGGAAATGATGGCAACCCACTGACTGTAATGGCTAAAACAAATATCTTGTATTACCTGTATAATACACACAGTTAAACAAATCCTTCTCAAGCATATAAAACAGGGATTAATTTTGATATACTGTTATTTACATTATCATCTGAACATAAACTTCTAAATCAGTAAAAAACTTTGAACCTAAGAAGTTTAACTCTTTCAATGATGTGTCAACACATCATTAGATGATTTGGTCCACAAACATAAAAGGCCTTAAAGAAACACTGAGAATAGAAGCATACAGCAGATGTCATGCCACGGTGGAGCTTGTAAAGATGCACATGTGAACAGCTCCAATCACTGCTTTGAGAACCTGATCCATTCTTTGATGAGGATGGCATAATTCGAAATATATTGATGTTGTTGCCATGAATTGAGGCTGTAACTAAAAGTGTCCCACTTGGGTCAAAACATAACACAGATATTGGACTAGTATGGGCCCTAAATTGTGCCACAACAGCTCTAGAAACAAAATCCTTGACAACAACCTGCAATAAATCAGTCATACTAGTCATCATAATAAGCATACAAAATGATCACTTTCCATTTTCAACTGACATAGAACAATGATTAAGAGAAGTGGGAGGAAAGAGAAGAGACTACATCAAAATACTCGGTGCTATTAACTACCTTAGAAAATTCTTCTTCTATGGCTAAGCTGAACCAATAGATGATCTCATGCAAATTGTAATACAGATGCCAATATTACTTTAAGAAAGAAAATATCTAGTCAGGGCCCAGAACATTGCAAAAGAAACTCATATTTTAATGTGTTATCACCAAATAGAATACTCACCATCCCAGCTGTATCTGTTTCTGAAGAATTTGATGTAAATCGATTAACTTTCCAACTTGAGTTTGATGATACAGGAGAACTTGATCCATCAGGTATTAGATCTTGGTAATATTTAGACAATGTTTTGTATCCCATATCACTAAGATTGATCAGCCCTGCTGCCAAATGCTTGCTAGATTCCATGGCATATCGGGCTACCAGGCTTCCACCGCTGGGAGATGTTGATGGGCTGACAGCAGGAGGTGTAAGACTCTGAGGACTCAAGCGGCCTGTGTTTGATAACAATGGACTGTTTGAGGCATAAGCTAACCACCGTGGCCCTACAGCCATAGGACCATAGCCAATATTAACCCCAACCATTCCTTGTCCTCCCAACTGAGGTACAGGGTAAGTGAGAACACTGAATTTATTCTCAAGAGTAAGAGCATCAAAACAATATATCTGCCAGCAAAGTATAAATGAAGAGAACAAATTAGAATAAGCCATATTTTACCTATGGCAATAGCAAACTAAGTTGTTGTAAATCATAAAAAAAAATACACAAGTGCTCCATTAAGTGACAGGATAATCTATCATTATCCTGCAAACTTGCAATGTCACAAGAAATTGGTAAGACCTGCTCATAATCTTCCAAAAACAATAAACTCAGTTTCCTCAAAAATGTAACATGTGTTTTTCACATATAAAGTGCTAAACGCAAATTGAAAAAGTACTTGAGTCAAAATCTTACTTGAGTAGCAAGACCCACAGCCACTATTCGAGGACTGCATCTAACCATGTAGACAGTTGAACGGAATCTCAGAGCATGAACATAGGTATGTGACCTTAGTGAGTAAAACCGAACTGCTGTAGCTGAGCTGACAATATTTTCTGCTTGAGCTTCACTATGGCCATCTCTGACATTTAGCATTTTACCGGGGATCTTTGATTTATCACATGCAACAACCAAGAGTAAAGGATGTGATGCTCTAAATCCTTCACAGCTTTCAGATTTTGCTGGGACAGGCTGCATTTGTAAAAATGAAACTGGATCATCACGTTTTGAGGCAAGTTCCCTGACATTAGAAGCATCTTCGACATCAAGAACTTGAAATCCATTGGAATAACCGAGTAAGAGGACGTGCTTGACAGAAGTTGGACCAAGTTCTAGCCTGTCAAAGCAAGCCCAAAGCACCTGCTTGACAAATAAAGGGGTGTATAATTCTGACTCATTCGTCTATAAATAATAATAAGTTCACAGTGAAAAAACAATTACCAAGTTTGCCACAGCATAGATACATTTCTATCATTAAAATTGGGATCTGTAAACTATTTGGTAACGCCAAACCATAGAGAATGCTTCTTATAACTGACCCGTGTGTAGTTTTATTTTACATTCCAGTTTTACCGTATCCACAATTATGTGGCCTATTGGCATTTGTTTAACAACTCCATCAAACGTACCAATCTTATATTGTTCTACAATCATGAAAAATAAAATAAACAAATCACTATCTCTTTAGTTTGTTTTTGTTTTTTGGAGTTAACGAAATCGATAATTTTAATCAGAACATTCCATGCCTCTTTTACTTCGCCCGTACAAAACCAAAAAAAGAAAAAACGAAGACAGAAATAATAAATTGAGTCATAGTTATGTGGATTAAGTCCTTAACTTCAATCGACAATCCAGAATAAATGCAATTCAAATAATTGAGACAAAACACAAAAAAACATCAATAAACGGTTCATTTCGGGGATTGGGGACAGTATCCGAACAACTCGAATAGTATATGCGTAACGGCAACAGAAACCGAGCATTGGCAAGTTTTCGGAACTAAATTTTCCTCATCGATCAAAACTCAAGCACGTTTGACTTGTCATTTTTTTTAACAGCATTCACAAATCGTAATTTCACAAGGCAACAACTGAGAACTGTGGAATAGTAGCACTCACACAAAATGCTACCTGGTCCTTGCGGTCGTGTCCGTCGCCGGAGATAGAGGCGGCGGCGGAACGGACGCCGGAGGAGGCGGTCTTAATGCAAGACGATATAAACTTGAAGGAAGAAGGAACGAATCCATTGCTCTTGCTGCAACCGTTGTCCTTGCTCTGATTCTTCATAATAATCAACGAAACTGTTTTCCACGGGCCACCGGTGAGTCACCGGGAATTCCGTCGACGAGAGTCGCGGAACGCAGCCGATCGAATATAGCATAAGATTAAAAGGCGTCGGGATTCGCCGTACGCGGCGGCGGCGGCAGCGGCAAAGAGCTCCGGCGTTGCGCTTTAGTTGGTGGTGGTTTAGGAAAAAAATTTGACCTTAACGGACGAGACGGTTCTCTTCTCTCTCAAAAATTAGAGTTTAGACACAGCGCAACTCTGCTTCTGCTCGGTGCTAATCGCAATGCTTATTTCCCTTTTGCCACTTAGCTCCCACAACATTTTCCAAAATCTCCGATAAGTCCTCTCCTAATGTTTTCAAACTTCAACTTGGCTCCAAATTACCATCCACCCCTTGCGTCTTTCATTTTTAAACTTACCATCACGAGTATTAACTATTAAATATTAATGTACTTAATTTAATTATTTATATACTCATCGTTTCATCTTCCTTCAAGGAGTTTGGTGTGATGGGATCTGATACGAAAGACGATTTGGTTGGTAATTTGAATGCTTGGAAACAAATCATTGGTCGAGGGTATTTTAGACATTTCGCCTGTGGCCAACACGTGCAAGTCATGTGATGTTTTTGTATTACCTTATGGGAGCGTTATCGAGTTATGAGCAAGTTTGGGAGAGAATTCTGATACGCAAGTATGTAGGAATAGGAATGCCTTCACGAATTAAAAAAGAGTTATACAATATTCTCACGAAAAATAATTTTGCAAGAATTTGAATAATTTATATCTTTTATTTGCCATATCACTTACTGTATTACATTTTTTTTTCTTTTCATTTTTCTCTAATTTATAAAAATAGTATATAAATTGATTAACGAGTAGAATTTGTGATAAAAAAAATATAGTCCACACGGCATGTTGATTAGCAAACGACAAGGCAAGGGAATATCTTAAACTAGATGCGGAACCTAATTACAATATTTTTTATTGCCCTTCCAGCAGCAACTTGTTTACCAAGAAAATGACAATAATAATTGAGTCGTAATTGTAGGTAGAGTTAGAGTAGATGCAAATCCACCCTGTGAATTATTTTTCAATCAGTTTAACTTTTTAAAAAGTTTACGCATAATTGGAGAAGACAATGTTATGTATAGAATTGGCAATAGGTAACCTAAGCCCACGCAAATTCCCTTATCTCTGCCTTATGTTTTCATCACGAGGATACATTTATATATGATTCCTAAGTAATCATATAAAAGGGATTATCCCGTGCAGTGCTGTGCATTAAGTCCATGTACTAGTTTATAAATATCGTGACTTTGACAGTAATTCTTATAGATCCTTCTAGATTCTTTTTAATCTATAAGTTTACTTCTTTAAGCATCGAAAATAATTTTGTGATATTTTTTTTCTTCTTTTTTTTTTGATAATTAATTGAAAAACTAAAATAGTTATTTTTGATTTTTTTTAAAATTATTATAATTTTTTTTAACTTCTCATTAAATTAAAAATATTTGTTCTCTAAAAGTAAAATCAAAGAAGTCCTACGTTTATGAATATTTTGCAAATAAACTTATTAGACATGTAATTTAATTATTGTTAATTTATAAATAAAATATTCCTTAATCCTTAAGGAAATTAACAAAAAAAAAAAAAATCTTGAAAAGTAGTAAAATTGAAAACTTATTGCACCGGAAACAATAGCAGTCAAGTGATGTTACTCATAGATACCAACAAATGGACTCCTATAGCCTTTACAAAAGACTTCAACTGTATATAATTCGCTTAACAAAAGGGATTCGCCTAGCTCCTACTTTAGATGGTAACAAAGTGTGTAACTCATTTGTTGCTCATTAACTATAGATGTTTTGTGCTAATGTAAATGTACCTATAACAAGTCATGTATGTATATACTTTGTTATATCAACCATTATATTGTTATAACAAATCAACCGTTGATGATACATGCACATACATAACAAATAGTACATAACAAGTAACATTGTCAACACAAACTATACAAGTTGTTGCATGGAAATCCAGGCAGCATGTAATTCTTTGCAATTAAAACCTGATGGATTCGTTTTCATGGATTTGGTGACACATACATTGTCTCCATTTTTGTACATGTTTTTAGTCCTAAAGAAAAGCCAATGATGTTGTTAAGGCTCAAGAGCCAATGCAACTTGCTGATGTCGCTTGAGTTCTCTTAGATGCTTTGTTGAGTTGTATTCTTGTGCGTCCAGTAACTCTTCTGAGTAAGTTCTTTGGAGAGGTCTTCGGTTTGCTCTTGTACATTCCAGAACACGGCCATCACCTCTTAGCAGTGTCACAACCTGCACCATCAAAGAAAATATGAACATGAATAAGTCTTCTATGAAATTACACGGTTCTTTAGATATGTTTAGATAAAAATGAAATATTTGTAAATTAAAATTAACTTATACATAATGTAATTTGTAGAAGTTCTCACTTATTGATTTCTTTTATTTTTAACTTATACATAAATTAGTTTTAGTTTATATTATTCCTATCTCCTTTAGCCTTTCTTAATTCTTGTTAGCATCTTTACTACTATAGAAGCACAACGGGTAAACAAAACAGATATTTCTTAGTCAGCTTCACTCATAAATGTTTTCACTTTTCAGATTCTATTAGTTTTTCAATTAGCCTAACTAAAATGGTGGCGTTGCATTAGGTATTATTAAAGAAGCAAAGTTAAAGTGAAAACATCATAGTTTCAATTCCTTTCATTAAGATGATGGTAATGTCATGTGTAATTTCAGTTTGAATGAACCAATGCGCATATCTATGTAGCTCTTTGTGTACTTGCCTGACTCATGCGGGGGCGTAGTATAGGAGACTGCTCAATACACAGTGATGCAGTTACAACTACACATCCTAAATGTCCTCTGTCATAATTATCTCCAAGGGAAGGATCAACAAGGTCTTTGATGTTGTTAGTGTCAAGCAAAGGTTTTGCCTATGATACACAAGAAAACAAAAAACACTAAGGCTTCTCATGTAGTATCACTTAGATAATATGTAAACAATATTTAGGAAAATGATTTACCCATAGCACAACACTCTGCTGCAAATGATTCACAGCTGGACGCCCAGTTAAGATCTCCAAAAGTAGGACCCCAAATGAATATACATCAGTTTTCTCATCTACTATGCCATGCATGAAATATTCAGGAGCAAAATAGCTGCCAGTCAAGTAATTAGGGGAATATATTAAATCACGAGAACTTAAACTATGACACTGGTAACATTTTATTTGCATACCCAAATGTGCCTTCAAATTTTGATACATTATGGTGAGTCCATTGTTCTGGTAACCATTTAGCAAGTCCAAAATCACAAATCTGGAACAAAACTCAAATAATAAGGGAGTATAAATCAGAAAGATTGCATCAAATAACAGGGGATACAGTGTAGTCTTCAGAGACAGTCTGCCGCTGATCTAATTTTCAAGTAGAAAATGTATTGACAAGTCTTGAAAAAGAACGTTTAGCACAAACCATTAACTCGGTTCATGTATTATCACTTGACAAAAGTTCAAAGATTTTCAGAGAATAAGAATAATATTCAAACTCTTCATATCAAAGTAATACTGCAAATAAGTTTTTTTCTCATGAAGCTTGGTAAAAACCTGTGGCTCAAAATTCTCCGTTAGCAGAATATTCTCTGCCTTAATATCTCTATGAATGATTCGCCTGTGGCAATTCTCATGGAGATAGAAAAGACCATCAGCTACTCCCAGAGCAATTTTATACCTTTTACTCCAATCTAATTTGTGTTTATCTGAACCTGGAATACATCATGAGATAAAAAACAGTAAATACTACGAGTATGTTTTCATACAAAAAAGTTTTTAAGAACATCTCTGTGAAAAAAACTCTTTATTTTTAATAGAAAAGCATTCTAAAACTTTTCTAAAATTATATGCAAACAGACTCAAATACGTTGACAAAAAGTTTTCACATAAAGGAGACTGCAATGCAAACCAAGTACAAACCATGAAGAAGAGTTCCTAAACTTCCCAGTTGAGATAGTTCAAAGACAAGCTGCATTTCTCCTTCTACACAACATCCAATTAGCTTGGCAGTATTAGGATGGTCAACATGAGCAATCACACCTAGCTCAGATAGAAAGCCTACTGTTTTTTCATCTGTTGTCCCTCTAGTCAATCTCTTCACAGCTATTATATGCCCATCTTGGAGACACCCCTTGTAAACCTCAGAAAAACCACCTCTTCCAATTATATTTTCTACATGTACAATGAACAATGAAAATCTACCTGGTCAAACAGATTCCATTTAAGAGTAAAAAATGAGTATTGGAATAAAATTATGAGAGATTTTCAGACCACTGCTAAAATTGTTGGTTGCATGTGTGAGTTCAGAGAGGCTGAAAGTCACCAAAGAAGACTTGAAGTCGTAGAGCGTACTTAGAACTTGGTTTTCTCTACTGCTTTTGCTTTTCCACTTTGGTATCCTTGGCACAGTAAGAGGAGAGAGGGACCCTAGGCGCTTGAAAGATTTTTTCTTCAAAGTTCTGAAAAATTTGGTCCAGTGAGAGTGTGCCCCGGTGCTTGAACAAGTGGTTTCGGAATGATCAGGTGAAGGATGAGAATCATATTCTTTCATACATGCTTCTAAGACTCCCCTTGGTGATCCCTCGTTTTCTTTTTCTTTCTCCAATTCCAAATGCCTCAAGTCTAGGATCAAAAAACGAAAAACATGATCAGAGAACAAGACACGTCTTCCCAATTGGGATGAAAAGTGAGGAATTGGAAGAACCATGTGCGGAAGGTGAGGAAGAAAATATAGACGTTCGTCTATTGTGTTTAAGATTAAACGATTCGGCATTTGAATGCTTTTTCGATTTATTAGCTTGGCTTTTCTTGTGATCCCTGCAACAATGCATGGCATGTAATATATTTCACATGTTAGAAATGGCAAACAAAAAGGCACGTACATTGCATGCATGCATGAATGCATGCAAGTTAGCGCATGATTTAGGAAGATGCATACCATAAACAAAAACTTGGTTGGTGATTCATGATAGAGAACAGAGCGGTTGCGGGTTGATGGTAGAGAAAGTTCAAGTAGGAGGTAAGAGGGCGTTGTTATATGTTTTGTATATAAAGTGAAGTGATGTGAATATTGAATGTGATCGACAATGGTGATGAGAAAGGGATTGGATTTACAGAAAGTTGTGACAGGGAAAGGTTTGCAGCGACATGTGCTCTCAACCAACGGCAAACGAGAACAATACAGACAGAGAAAAGCATTTGAACGACGTATGTGGAACGGAGGTTGGGGTCGAACGAACCGTTGGTTTTTCTTTTGTCCAATCTTTTGGATTTCTACTATCTTAACTTATATGTCTACTCCCTTACAAATTAACTTTCAATTTCGGCCTTTTAGGAAAAGATTAAAAAAATTTATAATTTTTTTATATTAAAAAATAGTTTAATCAACCTAATATATCGTCGGATAACTATTCAAATTTTTATTTTAAATTTATAAAATATTATTTAAATATAAAAAAATGTATTTTTTTTAGAAAGTTGTTTAGAATTAAAATATTATATCTAATGTAGATATATATAAGATTGAAATGCAAAGTAAATAAACAAAAGCATCATGAAATGATAAGAAAAATTATTTATCATTCAAATATAGAGAGAGGTCAACACCTAAATGAAAAGGGAGCTATATGAGATTTTGTCATAAATGTAAATTTGATAGGTTAAATCATATAAAATAAATTTGAGATAATAAGGTAAATATGAGATGTTAAATCATGTTAAAAAAAATTGTGTGTTTTTTTATTATTGTTTTTATAAAATTTTTGTTATGCTATCTCATTGTTGTGCTTAATTAAAGAGAAGAAGAAAGAATTTTTTTTTCAACACATATTGACATATTCATTGTCAATTTTTTCATCAACTAAACTATTTTTATCAGCATGCGAATACTAAATGATTTGATTTTGTTACTGCACTCAATCTTATTTTATATTGGATCTTGTATCACACACCTAGTAGGTATTTTCAAGTTTATGATTTTGATTAAAATGTAATTTGCAAGTATATAGATGATTAAATAATAAAGGGTTTAGAGTTTAAGGCTTATGATTTATCAAATGATAGTTAACTTAATTCACCATATATGCTAAAAAAAAATGAGTTGAATTTAACAAGGATTTTTATTCAGTTGAAAATTTCAACCCAATTCATGATAGATTGTGAGTTGACTTGAATTGACATGCCAACTATTAAAAAATTATAAACTATTTTATTTTATTTATCTTAAATTTTCTTAAAATTTTATCAAATATAATTATAAAAGAGAAAAGTTATTATAAAACTAGTAATTAATCAAACTATTCAATGTTCAATAGAATATATACTCAATATATTCATCCAGAAAAAATAAGTTCATTAGCAACATTAAAGATACAACCACCACTTAGTTCTTCAACAATAATAAAAAAAGTACATGCAACACACTTACAAATAAGTCTAAGCAAATGAATCTCAAAATAAAATTTCATAAGTCAAAGTCAATAAGTAAAAATCAAAGAAAGGTTTGGTGGGCTTTGCAAGTTAGGTTATGTGAGTTGGAGGGTTGAAAAATCCAATATAACCCAATTAACCCATTTGGGTAGATTATGTGGGTCAATCCACTGGATTAAACCTATTTTGACATCCTTTAAAGAAGTATTGATATTTATCTTTTTTCCAACTTCTTATTCTCACAAGTTTAATTTGAACAATAATTAATTTTTTGTATGTGCGAATGTCAATAAATCAACTTTAGAATTTTAACTCGTCAAAATACGACTATGAGAATATCATATATATTTTAACTGTAATACTAAATATATACATATATGTTCATTTAAATTTATGTAATAAAATATTAAATAATTTGTAAATTTTATAAAATTTTGTAGATTTAATATATACAATAAAAAATTATAATTTAACGATTAAATTGTATAATTCAATATATATTATAAGTTATTGTATAGTGATAAATGTAATTTATATAATTTTTTTTTAAGAATCTAAGTATATTTTAATTTTAGTGATATTTGTGAAATTGTTGTTTAATTGTGTCCTATAATGATGTTTATATTGATTTACACATTTACTAATATATTTTGTGTGCTTTGAAGGTTTTTAGGAGAAGAAAAATGAATTAAATTGAGTGAAAAAACGGTGTGGAGCTAAATTTTTGAGTTGAAAGTGAGTGCCAAAAAGTCAAAGAGTAAAGAAAATTTTGACGTATGTCAAGGTTGAGGCTTAGTGCCAAAACTTTTAGAAGGAGACCTTTTTGTACAAAAAAAGTGACGCTCAATGCCACTTTAGTCAAAACTGAGCACCGGATGCGTAACTATTACCAAATATAATCATTTTAGACTTAGGGAGTTAGAAGCTTTGGGATAGGTAATATAGGATTCAGGAAATTTTATGTAGGAAATTTTATGTTAGGTTCTTCTTTTCTTTCATTTTGTTTGTTTTTCTCAATCAGTAGCTAAATTCCATTATTGTTGGAGTTGTCGCAACCCGAAAATTTCCGATCTTGCGACCTATGATTTTAGACATCCTTAACCATAGCGAGAAATCCTTTATTTTGGATGTAAGGCTGCATATTCAGAAGTGCTTCCTATGGTTATATTTTCTTCTTTTGAAGTCAGCTGTTTTATTATACAAAGTTGAACATAAAATTTGCTCCATGAAAGCATTACACAGACATAATCCAATTACTAAATCTATTACTTGCTTGCAAACCAAATTTTAAATTACTAATTGTTGGGAGTGGAGATGCAGTTCTATTCTGACATGC